CCCCAAAACCCCAAAACCCCAAAACCCCAAAACCCCAAAACCCCAAAACCCCGGGAATAGAGGTTTTTATTGAATTTTATACTTTTTACCTAAGTCAGCAGAGATTTCATCGAGGATTATCTCGGCCATTTCGTTCTCGTTTAGGTTTGACCCGAGGTATGTGATGAAGTCGTTGTCAGGACCCATTAGGTAGGTGACGATTGTGTGATCGAGAGAGTATTTATCGTTCTTTTTAGCCTTCTGGTCCTTCATTTTCTCGATTACTTCAGGAGCGATTGCTTTCATAGCCTCTTCATCCTCCTTTTCTTCTTCCTCTGTTAGGTAAATTTTACTGCTGTGAATCTTGAATTTCTTCAAGATTTCCTTAAGATCAGGATCATCGTTTGTTTTGTGGGTCAAACCCATCATATCTTCATCAAAGATGTTACAGTATTGCTCGATCCTTTCAGGAGTATCTCTGTCTGGGTCTAGTGAGACGAACACACTAGCCAGGTCAAAGTATTTGTACTCTTTGGATTTCATAACTTTTCTCCTAGCCTTAGAAGCTTTGTTAAGAGATACCGGGCATACATCAGGGCACATGGTAAACCCAAAATATATGAGGTAGTATTTACCTTCAAGGTCTTTATGGGTGACAATGTTTCCTTTGGTGTCATAGAGGAGCCATGGTCCCCCGATATCAGCTTTTCCAGCGTATTGTGCTTTACCAACATTTTGGATTTTCTGTTCTCTCTTCTTTTTAATGCTCTGGACATTGGAATACATGTAAATTATCATCAAAGCCAAGGCCCCTGTGAAGAGAATAAAGTTACTAAATTTCCTGTCACTTGTGAAGGATGTTGTATCTTCATCTGAGTAATAACCAGATTTATCTGTAGGATCTGGAGGTTGAGTAGCATCAGTCCTTGGAGTTCCAAAGCCTTCCCTATTTCCTCCTGGCTGAGGACCTGTGCTGAATTGTCTTAGATTTTGGAGAAGAATTTGAGTTCTGAATGTAGTTAAAGGCCTATAATTTTTAATTTGGAGCTATTTTTATACTTACAAGGGCCTGAACTTCATTGGTCTAAGCTTTGTAAATCCTCTTCGTAACATTTATGGCTTAAAAAATTATTCTATAATAGCATCTTTTGTTGGGGTTTTGGGGTTTTGGGGTTTTGGGGTTTTGGGG